TATATATATATGTAGAAAGTTTGAAAATGAGATGAAATGAAATGAAATACTGTATATTTGGTACTAGCACTGTTGAATACTGGTCCTAAATAATAATAGTTCAAAATGAGTGGAGGAGGTTGCACATTAATAATAATATCAACAAATAACAATAACAATAATAATAATATAATAATTTTGGCATATATAGTGCATTATGCTAAAGCCTCAATGCACTTTTTTAAAGCTGCCTATTATTATTATAATAATATTGCCTATTACTGTATATAAAGTAAAACTGTATCCAAATGCATTGGGCAGTTCCTTGAAAATGGATATTTGTGCTATATGAAGTGATGCCATTATGAAACGTAGAGCATATGATAAAGAAAATTAGAGAAATTAACTGTGAGCCTGCAAGTAGACAGAAAACAAATGATGATGATGATGATATTTACACATACAAAAAAATACTTTCTTGGAGATTTGTGTATTGGCATGTTAGAGTAGCTGTGTTGCAGAGGATGTCAACAAAGAAGCATCAACAAACCATTTTGACACTCATTTTTGATCAACCCTACAAAGAAGAACTCATAGAAATATTTTAATTCATAACAAATAATAATAAAAATTGAAATGTGTGCCTTGCCTTTGGCCTGAGATACAAGGTGCAGGCAATATCATTTTCGCTCTTGTTCTGCGAATTTGCAGATATACCTTGTTGTGGTGTAATTTTGTGCACAAAGACTAATTCATTATTAAAGCCACAACATCCTACCAGGTATCTATTTATAATATTGGGTGGGGGGGGGTGGGGTGTTGGAAGGGACAGATTTAAGTGAGCCTTGTCCAAAGATACAAGTGATACAGTATGCACTGTGAACTTGTATGCACCTGACCTTATGACAGCCCACAAACAACATATCTTTATCATTATATCAACAATAAGGCCATGTAAAATTTAAAAAAAAAATTGGTTAGCATACATTTGTTATCAATTTACATGGTAGGGAGGGAGGTTTTTTTTTTTCCCTTGCGTTGTCGAACATGAAAAAAGAGTGTCGCAAGAAGAAACAGCAAGAAAAAAAAAATGAGATGAAGAAGAATAAAATAGCAAGAGAGATCAAAACTGCATACAGCTTATAGAAGGATATCCAGGTTTTTTAAAATATTTAATGGTTTTGATAAGTTGGAAGTTGGTATTTTTTTTGAATTGTTATCAACTGTAGTCACTAGGGAACATTCACTAAAATTAAAGAAACCGAAAGTTAAAACTAAGTGGGGAGAACAAAGTTTTAGTGCAAGGGTGATTAACGATTGGAATAATATGTCAGTTGAAGCTGTGGGTTCACAGTCAATTAATCAATTCAAATCAAGTCTCGAAGAACACTGGCTAAATCACCACCAGAAGTTAAAACCGTATGTACGAGACTTAGACAGAGGGGCGAATAAGCATTAATGCTTTAGCTTCAAGATCAAGGTAAATCGAGGTAAAATAAATTAGCACATTTTCAGCATCTGCAATGATCAATAATTTGCTTAAAATACAATAACATCAATAATTTGCTTAAAATACAAAAATTATAATTATTTATTTTAATAATTTATTTCTAATAAATAAAAGTATGTCATATCTTAATTTTATCTATGATAGGCCTAGCTAGTATCCATATTTTTTGCACAACACGAAAGATAACCAACAACCTATGTTCCTTTGAAGTTTGCCTTTATTCATCATGAATGTTTTGCTAATATTTAGAGTGTGCCCTCAGGAGTGACTGCTCCGGATGTTACCGGTACGCCAAAAAAAAAAGTAAATTTGTCAACAAAGCATAATATAATAATGCAAATTAAAAAATGTTTAGTATGTTTAATATAATATATATATTTTTATTTTTGTTCAATAGTTGTAGTACTTTTTTTTTTTTTTGGACTCTTAATAAATATCATTATTATCATTTTGATTTTCTTCACCTTTTGCTTTGTTAAGGGTCATTCACAACTGTCAACATCTTCACAAATG